GGTTTTGGAGCTTTTCTATAAATTTGAAATTACATAGTTACCAAAGACATCATAATTGACCTCCTGAAAACAAAGATAAAAACAAATCGAAAAACTGATCTTAGATCACCTTTCAAACACGAAAAAGAATCCAGAAATTAAAGCCAAATGAAAAAACAAGATAAAACATCAAGCTAGTTCCGTCTTATGGCCTGGAGCAGGGTGGGTCTTGGCGCAGAGCCACGTGGGATAATCCAGAATCATCTCTTCATGCAGGCATTGTTCAGAAAATACCTTGTGCCCGCCTGTGGTCATTGGCTTTGTGCAGACCCTCTGGGGGACCTAAGATGATTCCTTTCCCTGAGGACTCGTAGCCTTGGGGGTGGCATGGAGGGCATGTGTGTGCATCGTCGTGTATGTCTGTGTTCTGACGCGCCCCTCTCCCTCACAGCCCTGGCAAGCCCGCCCCAGGCGCCGTCGGTTGACACTACTGTGCTTCCTTCCCAGGCAGCTTAGCAGCTCCTCCTCCTACAGCGGTGACGTCAGCAAGCTCCACACCAGCACCTCAGAGCTTGAGAAGCCCAGTGCCCAGGAGGAGACCTGGAAGCTGATGGAAGCCGATAAGGCGCAGACGGGGCAGGTGGGGGCTGGCTCCTTAGGAGGGAGGATGCTGGGTCTGTAGGGCGCTGGCTGTGCAGGGGGTGCTGGGTCATATGAACACCTGCACCCCTGATGAGCCTGCCCAGGTGCCAGCTGCAGGGTCTGAAACCAAGGTCAGAAAGGCTAAGTGGCTGCTTACCACCCAGGCTCACAGCTAGCATGCAGCAGAGCCAGGTTTGTCAGGCTGCAGGCTTGGCCCTTTTCAACAGAGTCCTGACTTTCCCTCTCACTGAGCAGCTCAGGGCTTCCCCTAGCTTAGGCAACCGGGATCCTTTAAACCCAAGCCTTCTGTGAAATCAACTTTCAGCGTGCATGAGATGGTTTCAGGCTATAAGGAGCTACGGCAAGCACTAAAGATCATGAGCCGGCATGGTCAGAACCATTGTTTCATTTTTCTTTCAGTCTTTATGATGACATCAGTGTGAAAGCCTCCTTCCCACCTTTGGGTGCTAGCCTATCTTAACACCTCACATGGAGAGTGGGTCCCAAACTCTTACCTTATTGTATTTTTTTTTTTTAAGATCATCTGTTTGGGGCAAGCAGTAATCATTTTCCACTTAGAGTTGCAATTCAGAGTTCATTTTTAGAAGTAAATGTGGCTATGTAAAAACAAAAGCAGGGCTAGGATTGTAGCTTGGTACAAGGCCCTGGGTTCATCTCTAGTGTTCCCCAAAACAGGAATTGTATTTTTAAGATAAGTAAAAGTTAAGTATGTAGGGAAACAGAAACATCTACAAAAGGTAGGTGTAGACTGTGTAAGGTTGGGAGGGTCACTAGATGATGTCCAAGGAAGCCCCCCCAAAACATGGGAACCTCAGTTTTCCACTTTCATCACAGAAAAGCATTTCAGCATACATCAGGAAAGACATGGCAGGTTTACTAAGTAGAATCAAAGAAGAGCATGTGCAGAAGGTGGTGCCGGTTCTTATGGGGTAGGGGAGTTCATGTGGCCTTGGGGCTGGAAGTCTGTAGAACTGGTCAGTTTACAGGAGAAAGGCAAAGGCCTAATTTAGAGGCACACAGTGTCTTACAGGATTCTTAGGGATTTTGGAGTTACTTGCCTGAAGGTTAGGGGGCCAGTGTAACCTTGGGTAACTATGTCCTGAAGCTGTAGTTCCCTCAAAAGTACAATTTTAAAATTACAATTTCCTTTGTCTCCTTCCCTTCTATGTTTTCTTCAGTCCTGCCTTCGACAATTTTTCTTACATTTTTTCAGTTGTATACAGAGCCTTTGGGGACCCTTTGGCTGTGACCTATCATATGGCCACACCAAAGACCGCTGTGGTCAATAGCAAAAGGTGACAGTAGTGTTTGCTTTCTCCTTTCTCATATTGATTCTCCTGGTGACAGAGAAATTAGCTCAGACCTAACACATGGGAAGGAAAGGCCGGAACCACAGGAGTCATCGGATCCCCGAGTTAGCCAGAGGAGACAGATCTTAGCGTTATCCCCATTTCATCAGCAAAGAACAGTGAAGCCAGGGCCTTAAATTTGCCACAATTGGGCAGAGGTGGAGCTGGGCTCAGCAGTCACTTTTGTTTCTGACCCCTAACACCACTACATTCACTTCCCCTGTGAAGGGGCTCCCCAAGCCCTACTGATCAATTCGAGCAAGCCTCTCAGCTGCATGGTGAAGCTCTGTCTATGGTAGGTAAAATAAACTCTTCATTTTGAGTGCACTGCCAGCCCTGTCACCCTGAATATTTCAGGGCCAGGAATAGACTTGGAAAGGAGAAATGAAAAGGAGATAATCAATTGTATGTCATACCTGCTGTCCCTCTGCCAGATAGTAGTCAGATGATTTTTATGATCCAGAATGAAGCATGCAATGCTTGAAGTGGCAGCAAGCACACACACTAGGACAGAGACCTGGAATGGCTGAAACCTCACCAAGTGGTTTGGGTGAAGGATTGGCTTAAATGGGCAAGCCAGTCACCCTGCCTCTGGCCTCGGGCCAATGGGTGTCTTTTAGCTGTGCTGTTAGCCTGGTAGGCTCAGCAAGAGTCAAGCAGGGGGAGTCCAGTTGGGCCCTCCTGTGGTGTGAGGTGGCATTCAGCTCGCATAGCTAGACAGCACGTCCCACCTTTCCATTTCCTTAAGACTCCGATGGCTTCCTGCGCATCCTGGAGTAAGCTCAGAATCCTGACTAGAACCTCCAGACTATGCGTGGTCTGGGTGGGACCTCCACCTTCAGGCTCATCTTCTTCCTCGCCACCCCATGTTCTGGCTCCAGCCACCTTTCCTCTTCCCAGTTTCTCAAACATGCTGTGTTTCTGCCTACCTCTGTGCCTTTGAACTTGCTTCTTCCACCTGAAGTGTCACTCCATTTTCAGTAGATAAACTCCCTATTCTTTCTTCCTTAAATAAACCTCCCAAATAAATAAATAAACAAACCTCCCCCCAAGTCCCCTTTCTGGGTTAGGTCAGGATGCCCAGTGTGATAACTTGATAGGATCACGCATCCATGATACCTTTCTCCAGTTAGGCATTGACTCGGGTGGATGATTGGATGACAGCCACTTTCCTGGAGCTCTGCAAAGGCAGAAACCTGGACTCTTGTCCCCTGATGGCCTCCTTTGTCAAGTAACTAAGAGGGAAGGCGCTGTGCACCTGGACAGAGGCGGGCAGCTGGTCTGCCCAGAGCTATGGCCGTTGCTGACCTCATCTGACTGCTGTCTCCTTGGCTCCCAGGTGCAGCTCTCGGTGTACTGGGACTACATGAAGGCCATCGGACTCTTCCTCTCCTTTCTGAGCATCTTCCTCTTCCTGTGCAACCATGTTTCCTCCCTGGCTTCTAACTACTGGCTCAGTCTCTGGACGGATGACCCTGTCGTCAATGGGACCCAGGAGCACACCAAAGTCCGGCTCAGTGTCTATGGAGCTCTGGGCATCTCTCAAGGTGGGCATCACTATCCCATCCCTCCTGACTTTGGTGACTGTAATCACTTCACTGCCCCCCTATGTCCTTCAAGATTCATGAGTTCCCCAAAACCAGGCCAAACCCAGACAAGCAGCCCCTATCACAGAGCAGAGTCTCAAGCATTTGGAGAGTTAATGTTCTCGAATGCATTGATTCATAGGGCCTGAGGAGGCAGCAGGGAGGTGAGCTTCAGCGCCTATTTCACAGATGGGGAAAAGTGGGAGCAGAGGCCCCCGGGAGGCCTCCTTGCCCTGTCACTCTGCCTGGTGATGGAGCCTCTGCAAGATCCCGCGTAGGCCCTGCAGCCTACAGTGCAAAGGCATGAGCTCACTGCAGTGCTTGTCAGCTTGGGCAGTGCCGTCCTCCAGGGACACTGGCCGGTACTGGGAGATGTTTTCTAGCTGTCTCTGTGAGAAGGTGAGTGGAATGACAGCTGCTGGCACCTGAAAGCTGGATCTCACCTGCGTGCCTAAAGAGCTGCACAGAGCAAAGGCTCAGGCCCACAAGTTGGCAGTGCCGAGATGGAGAACTCCACTGTCTGCCTCATTTGTGATCCATAGAGGTCCCCAGGGACAACAGCAGGGCTCGCACATAGCGGAGGGAGCATTTACGCAGTGCCTGGCTCTGTTCTCAGCTCTGCTCCTTGGGTTGAAGTATTTTATCCTGAGAGCAATCCCATGAGGTAGGGACTATTATTTTCCCCTTTTCAGAAATAGACAGGGGGGGCCGGGGAAATGGCTCAGTAGAATAAGCGCTTGACTGGCAATCGCAAGGATCTGAGTTCAATCCCCGGTTCCGAAAAAAATAAAAAATAAAAAATAAAAAAAGAGAAAGAAATAGACAGGGGGCCAGCGAGATGGCTCAGCAGACTAAGTACCTGCTTAGGCAAGCACAGAGACTGGGGTTTGATCCCCGGTACCCCATGCCGCAACAGCCCTGTGCCTGGGCAGGCTGAGCCAGTGACCGAGTCTAGGTGTGGTGGTGCACACCTGTAATCCCAGTGCTGGGCAGGCTGAAAACAGGAGGATCACTAAGTCCAAGCAGAGTAGTGAAACACTGCACACACACACACACACACACACACAAAAAAAAAAAACCCACAGAAATAGAGAATGTGAAGCCCAGAGAGGTTAAGTCAGTTGCCCAAAGTCACACAGCATAATACATGGTGGAGCAGGCATTGAATGAGTTGATCTGGCTCAGAAGCATACAGCCTTAGCTGCTGTGCCGCGCTATGCTGTGCTATACATGGAGTATTGCCTATGAGCTCATAGAATCTGTAGTTATGGCTGCACCTGTCCTGTGCCTGTGACACATGTACATATATAGTAAATGCATGTGCTTGACACATTTGAGCACTTGCTGTGTGCCAGGCTCATTGCCACTTGGCATTCTACAGTGCTCTGGTGTCAATATCATTGTCCCCATTTTGTAGATGAAGGAACTGAGATTCCGAGATTTAGTGACTTGGGGAAGGTCTCTAAATTAGTAACTGGCAGTGTTGACCAGAGATGAGAGACCCCGTGCTCACCCTGGCCCCTTGAGTTTCTTCCTACTCACAGCGGCCACGGTAGAAGGCTCTCCAGGCCTAGAACAGCATGCCTTGGAAGTACCCTGCTTGGTGAGGTTCACAGGAGCCGTGACTGCATTGTACTCTCTAGGAGACACTGTTGGAAAAGCTGCTCTTGGGGAGCAGATGGGGATGTTTGGGTTCCTCAGTTGGTGACCTCCCTTCCCCTACTAGAGGGCAAAGGGATGTGGCCTCCAAATTCTATTTGCAGGCAAGTAGAGAGCAGAGAGAGGCTGTGGTGCTTCCCTGGGCCCACGCAGAGCAGGGTCTGACCTTCAGCCACAAGGTACAGGTGGCTACCAGAAGTCCAGGTCATCAGAGTTACACATTTGGTTCTCAGGTTGGATGAGCCACATTGCCAGTGCTCAGAAGCCACCTGCAACTGGTGCCACCTTGTTGGACAGTACACAGTGTGTGCTCACTGCAGAAAGTCCGCGGGTGAAGGCTGGGGCTCTGGGGCAGGCTGCCGATCCCAGTCCCAGGCTGCTTTCACCTGCTAAATGTATTTCGTGCACAATTTGCCTGTCTGGATTTCATTTTCCTATTGAAACAGGTAGCAGCAGGAACCTAAATTTAGACAGGTGTGGAAGCCTAACACTGTACTCTGCAGGTACTAGGTGCACTGTCACAATAGCCCCATTACTTTTCAGTGTTGGGAGTCCAGCCTGCCTGTTCCCTAGCCCTTACCTAGTGCCAGCCTACCTGGCTGCCTCCCCACCATGGAGCCTCATGCCCAGGCATTTGCAGGTGTTGCTGTGTTTGGCTACTCCATGACGGTGTCCATTGGGGGCGTCTTTGCCTCCCGCCGCCTGCACCTGGACCTGCTGCACAATGTCCTCCGGTCACCAATGAGCTTCTTCGAGCGCACTCCCAGTGGGAACCTGGTGAACCGCTTCTCCAAGGAGCTGGACACGGTAGACTCCATGATCCCACAGGTCATCAAGATGTTCATGGGTTCCCTGTTCACTGTGCTGGGCTCCTGCGTCCTCATCCTGCTGGCCACGCCCATTGCCGCTGTCGTCATCCCACCACTGGGCCTCATCTACTTCTTCGTGCAGGTGAGGGAGCTGGGGCACCCGGGCTGGGCCCTGTCACCTGATTCTCCCTTTTTCCCCAGCATAGAGCTATCAAGGACTTGCTGGAGGGAGCTTAGGTTTGTACTTGTCTATTCTGAACGCCTAAATCAATGTTTAGCTGTGATAACCAAAATACTTTTATTTTGGCCATTATACTGTGGCCCAGAGACTGGTGAGCAGGAGTGAGGATGCAGTCAGAGAGGGGAGGTCCACTTCCCAGGCCCTCCCCATGGCCTCTTTAAATTGGTACCTATGTTTTCTTGGAAAATCTTATAGCTGCATTTATCAAAAACGTTGTGTCATAGTCACTTTCCATCCCTGGGCCAAAATATCCAACATCTACAGCTTAGAAGAGAGGCTTATTTTGGCTTGTAATTTCAGTCCTTGGTCAGCTGCCCCCGGGTGGAAACAGCATGGCAGAGGAAAAGGAGCCCATGGCAGCCAGAAAGCAAAGAAGGCATGGGTGGGGACAAGAGTGTCCAGGTCCCCACCCCTGTGACCACCTGCCAGCCCGCACTAATGGCCTCTGTGTACTGGTTCCTCACCTGAAGCAGGAGGACACAGGGAGCACCTCCTAGGTCTGCTGTGAGGCTCCTGCAAGCTGGTTGCAGGGCACTGGGCTCTGCCTAAGTACTGGTTGTTGTCGTTGCTGTCCACGCCATGCCTGTAGTCCACCAGGTGAGCAGGACACTGGCAAAGTGCCCTGCATTTTTCCTCCCAGAAGTATCAGTCATAGCCACTTCTCCAGCATACCCCAGGAGGATGAGATGAAAGGACCATTACCAAAAGCCCCTCTCTTCCCCACTCCAGAGATTCTACGTGGCCTCCTCTCGGCAGCTAAAGCGCCTTGAGTCAGTAAGCCGCTCTCCAATTTACTCCCACTTCAATGAGACCTTGCTGGGGGTCAGCGTCATCCGTGCCTTTGAGGAGCAGGAGCGCTTTATCCACCAGAGTGACCTGAAGGTGGATGAGAACCAGAAGGCTTACTACCCCAGCATTGTGGCCAACAGGTGGGCATGGGACTGGGAGGGCCAGAGAGAGACTTCTGGGGGCCTAGACTCCCACCTGGGCTCTTGGTCATGGGCCGGGCGCGGAGCAGCTGGGCAGACAGGCTGGGAGCCCCAGGGTAGAAGAAAGGCATGGGGACCACACGGGGCAGGGAGGAGCATGTGAGTGCAGGGCCACGGCTCTGCTGGAGCCATGGAGCCCCACAAGCACTGTCCTGCCACTGTCCTCGTGATGCCAGTTCCTCTGTGACACAACAGGCAGGGCTCTGTGAATTGATAGCTGAATATAGAGAATGTATGATTTATCCCTGAATCACCAGCACCTCTTCCCCCACTTCTGCATCCTGGCAAGCCTCAGCCCATTTGGCACAATCTAATAGCATTGTCTAAGGGTGGGCGGGCCTTGAATTGCTGGAGTCTTTGACTTCCTGGCAGGAGTGATAGGGAGTTGGTCAAAATCTCACTCAGACTGGGGGGGAATTTTAGACATAGTTACATAAGTCATAAGAGCTATAATGGAAAAAATATCCAAAGGGCTGGCCAGATAGCTTAGCAGATTAAAGTTTTAAGTAAAGTGCTAGCCGGGGTTCGATCTCCAGCGTGCCATGCTGACCCCACCCCTAGGGCGCACTGAGACAGCAATTGAGACGGGGCCTGGTGGCATGCACCTATAATCCCAGCATTTGGGAGGCTGAAAACAGGATGAGTCCTGTTTTCAAGGGCAATGATGTGTGTCAGAGTCGGGAGTGTATCAGACTCCAATCTGTGTAGTAAGACCCTGTAGACCCTGTACTAAATATATTTTTTTTAAATTAAAGAAAAAATATCAAGCAATACCATTGCCTCTAAAGAAATGTAAACTGCTCTACATTTTAAAATGTGAAAATAATTTCTCTTATGCTATATAATTACTTATGAAAGTTAAACCAATGAAAGGGCTGGGGAGATGGTTCAGTGGAATAAGTGCTTCCCTGGCAAATGCAAGGGCCCGAGTTCAATCCCTAGTTCCTCAAAAGAAAAAAAAAGTTAAACTAATGAAATATCTGTTTATATTTCAAAAAGTAAAATAGGAGCCAGGGAGACGGCTCAGTGGAATAAGTGCTTCCCCGGCAAGTACAAGGGCCTGAGTTAAATCCCCGGTTCTGAAAAAAAAAAAAAAAATAGTAAAATAATGCATTTTATTTTTCCAATCAGATTTTACCGGCACATTTTAGATATACATACTAATCACATTCATCATAGAGACTTTGTACCTGTACAAAATATAACTTGCTTTTTTTCCCCGTTCCCTGCCTTCCCTTTTACGTATCCTCCCCTCATTAATACATTTTAATGTTTCTGAAATTAGGAAGAGTATGAGAACATGTCATGCGTACATCTTCCTTCTAGATCTGTCTCTTGCTAAGAGACTTACGTATAATTTGGGCTGCTGGGGATTGAGCCAGGGCCCGCACATGCTGTACAAGCATCCTGGCACTTAGCCCAGTAGACTTATTTTAAATCAGTAGTGCCTTTGACAGTTGAGGGACTTCTTCATGTTTCAAAAGTTCTAGGATATCTTTATTAAATGCGTATGTATGAAGCATTTCAAAGACTTCTTGTGAAAAAGTTGGCTCCTTAAGAAGGCAAGCTTTAGATCCCAGGGGTAGAGCGGCAGCTTCTGGAGAACCCTGTGTTTATCCTGGGGCTAGCCAGGCTGCTAAGCGCGATGAAGTTCGAGTCCACGGGCCCCTGCCCCCTTGAGCAGGCTGCACGCTTTGGATGGGCAGCACCAAGGAGGCCGCTCTCCAGAATGTGCAGGGAGTTGCTACAGTTAGCATGTTGAGCCAGGTTTCTGGAAAGCTGCCTGTGCACGTGTGTGTGCCTATTGACCCATGTGTCTCCATGCAGGTGGCTCGCTGTGCGGCTGGAGTGTGTCGGAAACTGCATTGTCCTGTTCGCTGCCCTGTTTGCCGTCATCTCCCGGCACAGCCTCAGCGCTGGCCTGGTGGGCCTCTCAGTGTCTTACTCCCTGCAGGTAGGAGGGGTGCCCTTACTGAAGGCCCTTGGGGTGAGTTGCCAGTTCCCAGGCCTGCATTTAGGGTTCCCCCAGGAACGGGGAAGAGACGGTGCTAAGTGGAGCTGGAGACCTGCACACAGAGCTGGGGGACCAACTGAGGCAGGAAAGGAAGTTGTCGCAGAGCTGGGTTCTCTGACAGTCAAGAACACTCCTGATGGCTCAAGGGGATGCTTCTAGCTACAAGGGAGATGATTTTTTTTAACTATGAATATCAAGCCAGGCACAGTAGCATGCGCATGCCCTCCCAGTACTTAAGGAGGCTGAGGCCAGAGAGTCGGAGTGCAAGGCTAGCATGGGAAACACAGTGAGGCCCTGACTCAAAACCTAGAAAGCTGTAACAGAACCCAAACTGTGACATCTTTCCACGTCCTGCTTTAGCTGTGTTCTCATGAGTGTTGATACATTGTGTTTTCATGTTATCACCTAATTCAAGTATTCTCTGATTCACTTTGCAAAGACTGTGTGGCCCATGACCGTTTTGAAAAACTCAGTGCTTAGGAGGTGAAGTGTGGCGAGTCTGGGTGATAGCTTTATGCAGGATTGCCAATTTCTTTTTCTTTCTTTCTTTTTTTGAATTTATTTGGCACAAGGTCTCACTACACAGCTTGGAGTCATAGTGATCCTCCTGTTTCAGCCTCCCCAGAGCTGGGATTACAGGCATGTGCCACCACGCCCAGTCTCGGTCTCTGGCCAGCTCTGTGCCAAGAATTGAACCATAGTCTCTGTGCTTGCCTAAGCAGGCACTTCATCCTCTGAGCTATCGCTCCAGTTCTGGGCTTGCTAACTTCTTACCTGAACTATGCCATAATTAATGGATCCTTAAGGAAACTCCAGCAACCTATGCTCATTCTCTAAACTGCATTGACCCTTCTACTTGTAGATCACCTCCTACCTGAACTGGCTCGTTCGGATGTCATCTGAGATGGAGACAAACATTGTGGCTGTGGAGAGGCTCAAGGAGTATTCAGAAACCAAGAAGGAGGTAAAGCCGGAGCCCAGCCTGACCCTTTGGCCTTTACCCTGAGATTCAGAAGCCGCCGTGGCTGCACTTCCTGCCCGGGTGGGCAAGGTGGGCGCCTGCTGAGGGGAGTGCGCCTGGCATTCACAGCATTTCTTTCAACACCTACTCAGAACCATGGGGACTTAGAGTAAGAAAAGAATTTTGAATGATCCTGGCTTTTCCCAGCATATGGGATGCCAGCCAGTATGCGAGATTACAGGGTGCTTTCGTCGTGGAGTGAGGACATTTTCCTCCTTCCAATGATCATGTCTAGCTTTTGTTGGCCTCCCAGAGGCCTTAGTTTGCTGCTGGATCTTCAAACCTTAGTAACTGAGACAATCATCTGTCAACAGATGTAAACAGCCACCTTCAAGTGGCAGCATTTATCTAACCAAGATAATCTGCTGTTTATTTCGTATTTTTCTGGGAAACTTCTATTGTGAAAGATAACTCTAGCTTTCCATTTGTGACTGTATATAAATTTCCCTTTTATATAAGTTAAACAACTAAGTGGAAATGAGTTGACATAAAGTGTGAAAAAATAAGAACAGAACCAATCAGTGGTTATGGCAGAAATCTTGGTGTTGTGAGGGATTACCCAAGACGTATGAAAGGAGGTCTCTATTTTGCAGACAGGAAGGACCTGTGCTGCTCAGGGTGGTGTGAGGTTCAGTGGCCCGAGTCTCCAGTTTGGTGCTGCTGGGAACTGCCTTCCCGTGGCCTGAGCATCCCCACCCGCAGTGGTATTAGAGACAGTCACGATAAGAATGGGATCGACTGGCAAGGTCATCGTGACCACCAGCAGGAGCTGTACCATGCTGGGTGATGCCAGGTCCTGTCCTAAGTGTCTTCACATAGGGTAACTGCTTCCCCGCTAGGCTTCATTACATTAGACGCTGTCATTGCATTTATTGGGAGCTGAGACACAGAGAGCTGTGAGCCACAGGCTGGCAGATGGACCCCAGTGTGGGTCTGTACCCTTGTGCCCCACTGCTCCCTAAGGGGCCTGGACCAAAGTCCCAGTCAGGGTGTGTCCACCTTAGGAGATCGGAGCAGTGCCCTCCACCTAGTCCTTTAATATACCAGCACTGTGAACCAGCTGCACTATTGAAATGGGTCCCACCCTACACTACTGTTTCTTATAATAGCTTTACTGAAATACAGTCCACATGCCATTAGGCTATGTTTTAAGAAAACACTTGAAGTTTTTTCCTTGTAAAAATCTTTCATATTTTTAGAATAAGCCCATTTGGAAAATACAAGGGAAAGAGACTCCTAGTCCTACCTCCTATTCAAAACACTGTATATTTATACAGAGTTAGTTCCATGTGCTTCTTTCCAGTCCTTTCTTCTTATAGTATGTCCCCTTCACGCGTATATATGAATTATATATGGAGTTGGGCTTACGGTTAAAAGGATTTATGCAAGTTCCCAGGACAGAACAGACAACTGTTGGCTTTCCCTGTCCCTGTCCTGGCCCATTTCCTGGGCAGAGTCCTTGTCATACGCTTGTCTGTCCCTTGACCTTTCTCTGAGCATACTCACATGGACACTCCTGCATTCCTTTGATTGCTTTTCTTTCTTCTAGCCCAAGTCAGATCTGAGGGTTTTTCTGCATTGGTTCCCCTTGTCTTTGCCTGCTCCAGGGCCCAGACAGGTCTGCATCTACAAAAAATACAGTATAGGACTCCCTTGTCTAGTAGGATTGCTCGAGGGTCAGTGAGCTCCTCAGTCGGCAGGGGTGCTCCAGAAAAAGCATGCTATGCTTAGTGCTTCCTTGCTGAGTCACCCTTCCTGTCTGTCTACACCGGCCTTCCACAGCACAGTCAAGCCTGCAGGTGTCCGGTCTCAGGAGGGATATACATTCCGTGGGGCCGCAGCCCCCAAGCCTGGCCCAGAGCACCCCTAGTGTGGTTTTAGGAAATGCAGAACGGGCTTTTCACAAATAGACTCTCTGTGACCCTAGGTGAGACACTTAGTCTGTCATCTGCTCAGCTTTTTCCTATGTGACTGCGGGTGTCACAGAACCCTTTGCAGCCCTTGGGAGGATGAATGAAATTATACAACAGTCGTGGATGCAGAGCTTGTAGTGTCAGCCATGCATCACCGCTTCCCTCACTGCCACTCACTCAGGGCTTCCATCCATAAGCATTTATCAGGCACCTACTGTGTGCTCTGAGCCCTAAGAGACAGCTGAGAGCAGAGGCATAGCCTGGTGGTCCAGGGCTGTGCAGGAGGTGGTCCATGCTCTGCAGGAGCACAGAGCAGGGGTGGGCATGAGGACACAGGGCCAGGGAGAGCACAGGTGACCTGAGCCTGCAGGAGGTGAAGGAGGGCCCCATGGAAACATGGAAGGGAGCGGGGCGGGAAGGGGCATGGAGGTGTGTTCTAGCAGAGCCCATGGCCCAGAGGATGGACTCAGGATTCCTACTCTCTCTCCCTTCTGACCCTCACTGTGATCTAAGGCTGCCTGGCAAATCCAGGAGACCGCACCACCCAGTACCTGGCCCGAGGTGGGCCGCGTGGAGTTCCGCGATTATGGCCTGCGGTACCGAGAGGACCTGGACATGGTTCTCAAGCACATCAACGTCGTCATTGAAGGAGGAGAAAAGGTGGGTGTGCGTCATGCCCCACACCTTTCACAGTTGGGCCTGGGCTGTGGTCTGCTGGCTACAACCATCTATGTCACCTCCCCAGCCCAGGCCCCTTGTTCTCTTGATCCCCTTTCCATTTGCATAAGACCCATAGCCTCCCTGTTCACCTCAACTGCTGGCCCTCACATTCATGTGCCTACCCTTTTAAGGCCCTCAAGTTTTTAATCTCTAACATAAGATGATGTCATTGTCACTGCTGGGGGTAGCTTGAGACACATATGAATAGTTGGGATCTTAGAAACTTTCTTTGTTTAGAAGCTATTCCTGGAAGACATCCTCTCGAGAGTCTTACAGTTTCCCAGGAAATCAAGTCAAGGGTCTTCCTGGCAGTTTGTATTTCTAAACTTATGAATTTGTTAAACTTTCTTGCCACAAGGCTCAGAACATCCCATTCCCATAAGATGCTGTAGCAAAGAGGAAACCAGAGCAGCTGATATTCCCACAGAATCTTTATGACTTACGTTACACCTTAGGGACCTTGCCTGCATGCTGCACTATGACATGTTAGAGGGTGAGGTTAGAGCAGTGAGGTTGTGTAGGTGGATGTCAGGAATACCAGTCAGTGGCTGGAAGACACCTGCCTCTGGGTCTGGTGGCATCTGCTTGTATCTCAGAAAGGAAGGTCCGCGTTAGTCTTTCTTGGCATTTGGCCAAAGCAAGCACATAGAGGAGTGTCCTTGGGAGTGGTGACAGAGTGCTGGTGGGAGCAGGGTGAGGCAGGTGGGCAAGCTGCTCTGGGCCAGAGCCCAGGGCAGCCTCAGATCCCAGCATTCCCACTCATCAGGGCTCTTCCCATCCCCCAGGTTGGCATCGTTGGGCGGACAGGAGCTGGCAAATCCTCTCTCACCCTGGGCTTGTTTCGGATCAATGAGTCTGCTGAAGGCGAGATCATCATCGATGGCATCAACATCGCCAAGATCGGCCTGCATAATCTGCGTTTCAAAATCACCATCATCCCCCAGGTGGGGCCGGCAGGGCCAGCAGGAGGCCAGGGCCACAGCTCCTGTGGCTCCACTGAAAGTGACAGCAGCCTTCTGCGTGTGCAGGCTCAGCCACCCATCTACCACAGATGTTCTTTTTTTGTTCAGAACACTTGTATGGGTACAGAACATTTCTTGACATTGTTCCCTAACTGATAGAGCATAATGTCTGCTCACACAGTATACAGACTGCCTTAGATCTTAGAAGTACCCCAGAGGTGATTGGAAGTTATGTGCAGATACTATGCCATTCTGCAGGGACTTGAGCACCTGCAGAGCTTGCTGTCCGAGAGGCACCTCAGTGAAACACCGCCCCCACCGTTGGAGTGAGGATGAGGATCTTTAGTACTTCCTAGCACGAAACAGCAGAGATTGCCCCATGTCAGTGGCTGATCCCTAATATGTTACCTGTTAGTATTATTTTCCCCAAAGACAGAGGAGAAATCCACAGTGCTGAAAGCCCTCAGAAGTTTTGAGCTATGTAACCTGAAGTTTCCTGATATTTTTTTTTTAAGAAATCGTGACCCTCACTAGAATTCATGAATTCTGAGGGCCTCTCCAGTCTGTGACTCCATAGTTCTGTCAAGAATGTTTTATGTCTGCCTCCGTGTTCTGTCCCTGCAGAAAATGGCCTGAGCTTCACGTGCCATCTGCTCTTTCTGAACAGGACCCCGTTTTGTTCTCCGGTTCTCTCCGCATGAACCTGGACCCATTCAGCCAGTACTCAGATGAGGATGTCTGGACAGCCCTGGAGCTAGCTCACCTCAAGGGCTTTGTGTCAGGCCTCCCTGACAAGCTGAACCACGAGTGTGCAGAAGGCGGGGAGAACCTGAGGTAGGTGGAGCAGGGCCATTGAGGTGGGAAGCAAGTCCCACTAGGTTGGCCAGGGGTGTGAAGACTGCTTGCTTGTGTAGGTTTGAGCCCCAGTTCTGCCATAAACAAACCACTGGAGCCTCAGTCTCCATGTCTATAAAATGAGTTTTCTAAAAAAAAAAAAAATTAAACACTTTTTTAAAAAGGGTTTTCCTTGAGACTTAGGAAGGAAGACCACAAAGACCAATGCATTTCCCATCATTGCCACCAAGGGTGGCTGTCATTTGTTAAACTATTAGAGGGTACTTTACCAGTCAGTAGAGAGCACTGCTCTGAGCCTCCTGGTCCCTGTCCAGTGGCCCTGCTAGCTAGGCTTTCTTCTCCAGATCACCAGGATCTGTCCAGTTTCCAGCAGTTAGTGCCTGTTACCCCAGGGAACCTCTCCAGTCCTGTCCCACCACGATAGCCATACTCCAGTGTGCTCATGTGCTGGGGTGGCCTGCCAGACAGCTCTTCTCATCCTGACCATACTTGTTCATGGCTGTTGGCTGGTCTTTCTGGCCATCTAGGGGGCAGTAAGGCACACTCCACATGCCAGTGGGTGACAGGAGAAGCCCAGTGTGCCTCCCCATGTCAGACCTCTGCTGGCCCTATGTTTGCCCCATCTCTTTGGCCAACGCCAGGCACAGGGCCAAGCCCAGAGTTAGCTGTGAGGGCCTACAGTTGGATAGAGCTAAGGGCCACCTTTGTTGTCTGTTACACTACTCATGGTGAATTGGACCAAAATATGCACTCGATTGGTGATGTCTGCCACAGGGACTAGAAATGGGGAGTGGGCAGGCTGTCCTAGGCTAAGCAGGGCAAGGTGTCTCCTCTCCTTCTCCCAGGTCTGGCCTGAGCTCAGGGTCAGGACTGGGTAACATGACCTCTGGTCGTCTTCTGCCTTTTAGCATTGGGCAACGCCAGCTTGTGTGCCTGGCCCGAGCTTTGCTAAGGAAGACAAAGATCCTCGTGCTGGATGAGGCCACGGCAGCTGTGGACCTGGAAACAGATGACCTCATCCAGTCCACTATCAGGACACAGTTTGAGGACTGTACGGTCCTCACCATCGCCCACCGGCTCAACACCATCATGGACTACACAAGGTGAAGCCCTAGCTGAGAGGGCCAGCCCTGCTCACCGTCCCATCCACCCATCCTCCCTCTCCCCCCATGCTTGTGCCAAAGAAGAGCCCCAGGGGGTGGCACTTCTTTATTTTGGGTAATACCAAGTACTTATGGCATCATGCACTCATTTATTCTCAGCTTGTCTGGTCGCAGTGCCTGCTGTGTGCCTTGAAGTGGGGCTGTGGAGCTCTGCAGATGCTGTTGGACAGGGGCCCCACTCCAGGACCGGGTAGCTTGGCTTGAGGAGAGAGTGGACAGAGCAAGCAGTAACAGGACTTCAGAGGGTAGCTTATACTGGGCCGGCACTATAATAGGGAGAGGGGACTGCAGTAGCAGGTGGGCCTGTGTTTTCTTTTAAAGATCAGAAGAAGCTGTCATTGGTAGTGTAACGCTGGTACCCTGGGAGGCTGAGGCAGAGTTGCAAGTGTGAACACATTCTGGGCGACTTAGTGAAACCCTATGTCAAAATGAAACGAAGTGCTAGGGCCGTAGCTCAGTACAAACCTTAGTACCACCAAAAATGGAAAGAGAAAAAAGAAAAAAACGTAATCCATCCTGGATTACAGATGCCTTTATGTCTGAACAGCTATAAAATCTAATTCTTAAACATGTTTATGGAGCAGGAGCCACGCAGGCAGGCTACCCACAGGTCACCATGTGCCCTGAGTGCAGGCTACTAGCGGTTTTGAACTTAGCATAGGTGATCAAGAAAGGCCTCCCTAAGGAGGGGACATTTGAACTGAGACCTGAATAATGAGAATGCTGGTCACCAAAAAACCCAGCACTTGGGTAGTTTTTTCTGTAATACTTTTTGTGCTATTCCAGAATACTTTTAGCCTTGCAGGCCAGGAGGTCATGGTTACAGCTGCCCATCTCTACTACGGTGGCATGAAAGCAGGTATAGGCAATACAGAAATCAATGGAAACTTGTGTACTAATAAAACTGCTCATAAAAATGAGTAGAGGGCCAGATTTGGCTTCCAGGCCATAGTCTTCCAGACTTGGAGCTAAAGAAAGAATATTCTAGGCAAAGGGCACAATTTGGTATAAAGGCCCTTAAATGGGAATGTGTTTACTGAATTTAAAGGGTAGCCAGAGGCCAGAGTGCCTGGAGGTTAGGCTTGAGTGCATTGAGAGAGGAGAGGTGGCTGGAAAGGTAGCTGGGGCTGGACCTTGGAGCACCAGGTCATCACATGAGGAGGTTTGAAACTTACTCTGAGAGCACGGTGAAGCCCTGCGGAGTTACAGGTCAGGGAGTGACTCGACATGCTTTCTTTTCTCGTTACTGGGGGTTGAGTCCAGGGCCTTCACACTGAGCTACATCCCATGCCCCACTTTCCTCTTTTTTCTTTTCATTTTGAGAGAGGATCTGCTATAAGTTCCTAAGTAGCCCAGGTTGAGCTTGCATTTGTGAGTCTATTTCAGCCTCCCAGAGTCCTGGGATCACACGTCTGCGCCAGCACACCCAGCTGACATGATGGTTTTAGGAGACTGTTGAACACCTACTATGTAACCCAGGGGGAATTAGTCTGATGTGAGATCAGAAGTAGACGTTATTGGATCTTAGCAGAACCTTGTATACCAAGGGACCAGCATATTAACCCAGAGGCCACACTCAGCCTACTGTCCATTTTTATGAATAAAGTTTTATTGGCACATGGCCACATTTTCCTGTCATCTCTGGCTGCTTTCCTATTATAAATACAGCCAAGATGGATAGTGTAACTGAAACCATGCTGAATATGTTCATCATCAGGTGTGTTCCAAAAAAAGGCTGCTGACCCCTATTGTGGATTGTGATAAGATCTTTTTATTTTATTCTAAGTGTAGTAGACCAATGAATCTGAATAACTGATAACATCATCATTACTAACTGGCCACAACATTATTTGGGTTAGAAATTTAGGAGGCAGCATTTGAAATTGTCCAAAAATAGGGATTAAAGCTGGGCAACCACTGGAAGGCTACTGCACCAGTCCTGGCAGAAGATGTTAGGGTTCCAACCCAAAACAGTGACTGTCCTAGATGGGTTCTTGGGGTCACAGTTTCCTTCCCCTCATGTCTGTATCCCCTCTCTTTGCAGGGTGATTGTGCTGGACAAAGGAGAAATCCGGGAGTGTGGCCCCCCCTCCGACCTCCTGCAGCAGAGGGGTCTCTTCTATAGCATGGCTAAGGATGCCGGCCTGGTGTGAGCGCTGGAGCTGCTGCGCTTGGGCCGAACTGTAGGGCTGACGCGCTGCTGTCCAGGGATGAGCTGGCATCCTTGGGAACCCACACCTCTCGGAAACCAACAGAAGGAAAGATACAGAAAGAAAATCAAACCCATCAAACCAAAACCACAAAGTAGCTGCCGCCAGCCAGCCACTGGCCAGAAGTGACCTTGAAGAAACAGGACACAGCTGCCCCCCAGGGAGCCCAGATACCTACAGCCTGGCCTCCAGCCCCCAGGAGATGCACGCATGTTCTCAGGCTTCCAAGAATGCAAGCTGTGGCCCCGGTGTCCCCACAGAAGGGCTTTAGCAGCCAGACTTTGGAGAAATTGGTTCTGTAGAAGATTCTAGTGACCAAATCCAGTCAACTGCCTCATGTGTCTCTAACTAAAGTCTGTGGATCCCAAGTCTTCAAGACGCTTCCTGTCACTTCTAGAACCTTATCTGGTTCCTGAGGTTGAGGGGCTGGGTGAAAACCATTCTGACTCTCCGGCCATGCCCCAAGAGCCCTGACAGTCGTCTTGCCAACTATCTGGTCTTCCAGACACCGATGCTGGGAAACAGCACCCCAGCCCTGCCCACCAGTCCATGCTTCCATGGCCAGAGGCAGCCTTGCACACCCACACTTCCTGTCACTGCAAGGATGTGGCTAGACCCATGACTGATCCAGACCTGAAGCTCCAGTGCCAGGCAGTGCCCTCTTCCTGCTGATTTTCCAGTCTGCTTGCCTCTACACCTGTTTCGCCTTTCTTTTGCTTTCCTCTAGCCTCTCACTGCCCATCGCTGAAGTGGGTTAGCTCCTGTCGGTACTGGGAAGAGTGGAAAGTCTACTAATGGCTACAAGGCATCCAGAGCAAGGAGCCTGAGGGGCCTCCCAAGGATTACCAGCTGGTACCAAAGAGTCCCTGGTGTTGTCTCTGTTTCAGTTTTAACTTCTCACTCATGGCATCTGGCTTCAAGTGGCAGAAAACTTGACATTTTAGATACCAGTTCTCTTCCAGGATAAGAAAAAGACCCCATTAATGAATATCAGTGATTTTTGTTCTTTTTTTTTTTTTTCATACTATTCCAGTGAAAAAGGCTGTCCTAGGGGTCTAATTTCTTAGGAGGAAGTCCTGGGCTGAGGAGCGGGGACTTGCCCAACCTGGTTCTGCATTTGGCATTCAGTGCAGGTGTCCTTGGAAGAAAGAGGCCGAGTCCTTCACAGTGGGTCTGTCAGACGTTCAGTGACAGCCCGCGATGAGAGCCTGACAGCAGCACACGCTCCCTGCTGCCCTGGGATTTGTACCTGCTCTGAGTACTGTACATTGCTGACTTCAAACCCAGAGAAGCATCTTTCTTTTAGGTGGAGATACATATTTATTTTTTGTAAGTTATACCATCCTTTCATGTTAGAGAAACCAAGTTTTTCTTGGGGATCTTTTTGTAATGACTTACACTGGAAACATGAACATTTGCAAATAATTTACAGTAAAAATAATATTTTATTTCTTTCTAAACAGTTGTTCTATCATCTTTCAGGCATCAGCAAAGGTTTTGGTCTTCTCTGGTAGAGCCCAGATGTGACAGATATGGAGTCTATGGTGTGCCGTTGCCAGAAGTGGGGCTAAGATCAACAGTAGGGTGGAGGTTAGCTAGGAGGTAGCACAGTGAGGGGCAGGGATCTAGGACAGACCTGAGTCCTGCCCTCATCACTTTTGGTCATAACCCTGCACAAGTGGGTAGGTGCCACAGTTGCTTTATATTGTAAAGTGGGGCTGATCAGAATGACGTCACAGGATTGTCACCACGTTGATGCTTTGGGACCTGCGGTCCCAAAATCACATGTGGCCAGAATCACCCTGGAGCATCCCTTTGTATCAGGATAGGCAGGGCTGGCCTACTGTAATAAGCTAATGAGCTGTAATATCTTGGGTAAAGAACCCAAAGGTTTATTTGATGCTAATATAGGTTCAGGGGCCTCCAGAGTTGCTGCCTCTGTGAGGCAGCTCTGGGCTGCAGAGTGGTCTACTTGTCATCACTGTTCACTGGTTTTGGGGTCCACAGAGCAGGGGCAGGGAGAACGCAGATGACCCCCAGCTACTCTGCGGCATCTCCAACCAGAAGTGAAGCTTACATCAACCCCCTTGCAGCCCATCAGCCAAAGTCATTGACATGGGTTTGGCCCCAGCCAAAATAGTTCTGGGTGGGACCAGGGAGATGGCTCAGTGGAATAAGCACTTCCCTGGCAAGCGCAAGGGCCTGAGTTCAATCCCCGGTTCCTTAAAAAAATGGTGCTGGGAAATGTGGGTGTACGTACAAGAGGAAAGTACCTCTCCCTCTCCTAACTGACACGATGTCCAAGTTTTAGTCAGTGCAGTATTGTCTTTTCTCATGGCTGAGATAAAATACCTGATATCTGAAGTTAAAGGAGGAAAAAGTTATTTAGCTCATAGTTTGTCACAATTTCAATTTATAGTTGGCTGGCAACAAGGCAGAGTGGCATGGCAGAAGGGCATTGTGGGAAAATCAGTTCTTGGCAGGCAAAAGACAGCAAAGTAGCAAAGCATCAAGCAACCACAGCAGCCCTCTTCTCCCATCCAAGAACTAACCAGGCTCAACCCTGCTTAACTTCTGAGAGCAGACAAGATCATCTAGCACATTTAGGGTGGTGTGGCTATAGACCGAGGCCCTCTTTTGGTCCCTTATATTCTATCCAGGGTAGCACTCACACCCAAGGTGCAGGGCACGCTTAATCCCAGCATCATATTCTAGATCCAGCCACCTGGAAAAAGCCCCAGCTGTGACTGCACAAGCCTGTTGGGGACGCTGAGACACAAGCCACAACAGGTACTGAAACTAGAGTGGTCGTGAGTGAGTTCAGATTGGCTGAGTCTGGGCAGTGCAGAGTGCCTGTGTCTGGGGACACGCCACTTATGCCACATACTTACACCGTGCATCAAGAACATGTGCAGATGAATGTTCCAGCACTGCTGCTGTTCCTGGAGCGTTGCTGTCCCCCAGCCGATGCCTTGGCTTGCATTAGCGCCCATGGAGCTGGAGTTAGTCTGTAGACAAAGCTGGTGAGGCGCTGACTTAGCATTGCAGCAGGTAGATTTTCCAGGTGGGGAGTCTGGCTTTCAGGTATGAAGAGTGGCCTGTCCAGGGCCCTCGGCTCTGGAGTGCTGAAATCCTCAGAGTCCAGCCTGGTGTGTGCTACAGTGCGTGCGGGCAAAGAGCCAGGCACTGACCCGGTTCAGTCTGCTGTATGAGGGCGTGGGGCAATGGCATTAGCCCCTCCCGGGTAGGTGCCTCAGTGCCACGCAAGGAGTAAGGGGAGATGTCAGCTTTGGTGTGTCCCTGGCAAAGCTGTTTTCCCTGGAAGGGTTCCCTTGCTGCGAGCAGGAAGATTGCAGTGAGTGCTCCCAATGAGAGTTGTCCCTGTACCTGGTCTTATGGCAAGTTCCTTCTCCCAAACTCCCCAGAATCCAACTGCTCTTTCCCCATCACTGCTACCGTGATCCCAGCCACTGCCCTCTTGCCCTTGTGTCTACGTGCAGCTCCCTCAGTGGTCTTCCAGCCATAAGGCTCTAAGTTGGCTTTCTGCGGCCTGTCAGTTTCTCCCCCCGGCCACTCCCAAGCTGCCACCCTCTACCCTGCTGGCACAGCCCTGCCCGGGTCTTTGCTCACACGGCGCACACTCCTTGCTCCTATCCTGTGTGTCTTGGGATGGCAGCTGCATGCGAGTGGGGGACTTGCAGCCCCTCCGCCAGGGGTGCACAGCTTGCACTAATGGGAACATTGTGTGGTGGGAGCCTGGGCCTCTCAAGCTTGCCCTTCAGGAGCTGGGGGGCTCCTCCTCATGCTCCTGGGTTCATCACAGCTCCTGGCCAGGTTTGGTGAAGACACGACAGACAAGAGTAGGCACCCAGCACCACATCTGCCAGAGGACACCTGTGCACATGCTAGGTGGCCCATCACTCCCCTCTCCCTACCCCTACACAGCATTTATGGAACCAGTGTGCCGCACCAGTGCTGGGGAAGTAGGTGGACAAACCTACACCAGTCCTTCAGCTCAAGGAGGCCAGGAAACACTCCCCCTGTGTCCTCTGGGTACAGCAGAGTCATTCTGTGTGGGCTGAGATCCTAGAGCCCAAGAGAAGGCATGCAGCTCCATGGTTGGGGTACACACTCTGCATCCGTTCTGCTGGGTAGAGCTACCTGCTTACTAAAGGCTAACTGAAGGCTCTCCATCTCAGTTTTCTCATCTGTCAGGTACAGTCACAGTGCCATTCTCCAAGGGTCCTGATGCCCACAGTGGTGCCCACCTCTGCCAGGAAACACTGAGTGGCACACGGCCCCCAGGCAAGGGTAGGTTCTGGCAAAGTTGTAAAGCTGTGGGAAGGAGCCAGGGAGACAGCTCAGTAGATTAAGCACTTGCCTGGCAAGTAAAGCTGTGGGAGCAGGCACCCGACACCTTGCTGGTGCTAACTTGGGCTCCTCCCACCAGCCAGGCCCTGTTGGCTGCAACAGCCTGCTGGCTGGGTTCCAGGGCACTGTGGTGCTGCCCAACAGCAGCCTTGTTAGCAGGTGACAAGGTGCTGGCTCCCATGCGCTGGCCACTGGTACCATACACTGCTCGCTGGCCATGACAGGCTCTGGTGGGCTGGACTGAACCAGCTGAGCATGCCAGACCCTGGCAGCCTCTAGGCGTGGTCCCTCTGCAGGGGATGCCAGGAGCTCTGCTGTGAGTAAAGATGTGCTGCAAGGGAGGGTGGGGGCTCCAGTGGGTCTTGATTACCCTGGGCTGATGGGAACCCTAAACTGCGTCAAGATGGGCCACTAGAGAGGCACCATTGCCTGCACAGAGCAGAGCCAGCCCTGTGTCCTGGAGGCCTCTCCAGAAGTCAACACAGCCGCTTCCTGTGCCTACCTCAGACCAGAGATTCGACCTCCCCCCCAAGATATATGCCAGTGTGTGAAACTGTCCTTGTGACTATAGGGGGGTGTAGCCTGCTCCTGCAGCTGATGAGCCCTGCCATGCATGCTACAATGCATGGAATGCCCTCACTAGAATTGTCTTGCCCCATGTCCGTGGGGCTCACCCCCACTTTCCTGGGTGCCAGCATGTCATCTGTGCAACAGGGCCATGGAGCCAGAAGTCCCAGCTGGTGGTATGAATGCCAGGGACCCATCTGACTGCTCGTGCTGCCCTCTGTCTGTGTGTGGACCTTGGGCTTGGCTGCTCTAGACCCTTAGCTTCTCTTTCCTGGTGCCTAATGCTGGGCTTCTGAGCCCAGTGTTCATTTTCTGACCACTGTCATGGACAGGCAGGAGCTATAGTGAGCCGTGCACTGGTCACCCTTGGTCACAGCAGTGTCCAACCCTCAGCAGTCCCCAGGGAAGCAGCATGGATCGAGTCATTCAGGGTGTGTGGTGGCCGCTGGAGCTCCCACAGAATAGATGTGGATGTTAGCAATCATATGCCCAAAATGGGCTGAGTCCTGGGCAGATTTTCCTGGTCCCTACCTCTCCTCTTGTGTTGGGGGTTGAATCCATGCACAGTACCTGCTTTGCCCAAAGACAGCTCTCTACCTCTCTCAATGTTGGGTAGGTGCCCCTGGCTTGTGTCTAGATCAGGCAAGAAGCTCCTTAGAGCTTCTGTATGGGGGCAGAAGGGCAGCAGTGGGCACCAGGCAGCCCCTCAGTCCTGGCTGCACACTGGAGTCTTGGGGGAAGCTTAGAAGCATATGCCAAAATGCAGACCAACCAGGAGTTGTGGGTGTGGTAGAGGGGGTGTGGGACTACACAAACCTGTACTCAAGTGGAACTTGATACTTGTGCATGCAAAAAAACACACAAGCAAATCAGGAAAGCTGAACCAGATCGGTAGCTTCATCAGTCTATATCCTGCTCTAATCTGGCCCAAGAGTTTTACAAGATGTCAACAGCAGGGGAAATGGCAAAGGGCCCAACAGATCTCTGGTTTTGTTTTGTGCTGAGGGTGGAACCCAGGGACACATGCATGCTAGGCAAGTGCTCTTCTACTGAGCGACAACCCCAGCCCCTCATAAGTTTGAGATAAAGTCTCACGAAGTTGCTCAAGCTAGCCCTCATGTCTCAGCCTCCCAAGTAGCTAGGATTACATGCATGTACCACCACACCAATTTTCTTAAAATTACACGTGAATTTATGATTATCTCAAAATGAGATTAATTTGGAAAAAATACACACACCATTGCCTCAGCCCCTTGAATTCTGATTTAATTCATCAGGCATAGAACCAGGTGCAGACATGTTTTTCTGCCCTCAGTGTGAGGCCTGCAAGCAACCAGGACTGCAAGCCACTGTTGATGTTGGTTCCAGGGTGGACAAGGCGGCATGGGCCTTGCCCCAGTCAGCTCAAGGATGGCTGTGGCCTGCTGGGTCATCTCAGCTTGGGGATGACTGTGGCCTTCTGGGTCTCCTCAGCTCAGGGGTTGCTGTGGCCTTCTGGGTCTCCTCAGCTCAGGGGTAGCTGTGGCCTACTGGGTCTCCTCAGGTTGGTGGTGGCTGTGGCCTGCTGGGTGTCCTCAGACACTTTTCTTTGCCATTTTCCTCTCTCAGACCATGATACTACCTGGGCCATGAACAGCCTGGGTCACTGGTTTGTCCAGGGCACAGCTGGTTTTGGGGCTGACCCAGCAGGGACAGTGGGGAGGCCAGTTCAGATGAGGCCTGACTCCTGGGCCAGCCTGTAAAACAGTCCCTTCTGGGACAGCAGCTCAGCTGGACTGCCACTCTCAGCCACCTGCCCGTTGTCCATGACCAGCACCCTGGGAAGAGAGGGACAGAACTACTGTTTGCTCACCAGCCCAGCCCAAGAGCTCTGAAAATTTGCTTCTGCTTCGAGCTTTGCTCCCCAAAAGCCCAGCCCTCCAAGCAGCTCCTGACTCAGAGAGCATGCTGCCAGACTGTGTCAGGGCTCATCCCTTCCCCCACAGGGCCTCAGTCTCCACCTGCACAGTGAGTACCTAGTGGTCCGATGGAGATCCTCATAAGCAGGCTCTGCGCCCACCCCCGACTGCTGCGGGGGAAGGGCACCCCTCACCTGGCACAGTCCATCACGGAGCTCAGGCGGTGGGCAATGAGCAGCACTGTGCACTGCGCAAACCAGTCCCCGAGGGCCGCCTGCATCTGGACCTCTGTCCCCAGGTCCACCGAGGCTGTGGCTTCATCCAGGATGAGAATCTGGGTTTTCCGGAGAAGGGCACGTGCCAGACACAGGAGCTGCTTCTGACCCACGCTGTGAAGCAAGGGGAAGGGAGGCCGGATATGGACACCGCGCGCGATGCACAGGCCACGCCCACAAGGGGGTCCGTGGAACAGCTGCAGGAGCACGCACTCCCCACACGTGAGGTCCAAGGTCCACAGAGCTGGGGCGCCCCGAGGCCCCATCTTTGGGCAGTGTCCAAAACTTTTGTGCCTCAGGTTCCCCTCCTGCAGAAGCTACTTCTGTTTCCTCTAGTCTGTGCTCACGCACCAGACACATTCTTAGTGCTTATGTGGACATCCTCCGCAGAGGCAGACACTGGGCTCTTGATAGAAGAGGAAATGCAAAGGGAGAGCTAAGCGGCTGGTCAGAGGTCACAGAGAGGGAGACAGCATGTGAGCCCAGGACCTCTGGCTCCAGGGCCTGCTTCTAACGGATCCTTCTGCACGGAGGTACGAGGGGAACTACGTAAGGATGAAGAGAAACCTCTCAGCATGAACAGCTTCTTACAGATAGGGAAGCTGAGATTCAAGGTCCTGTGCCCAGGTAGATCCCTGCTCCTGGTAGCTGCTGGCTTCTAGGGCCCCAGGGTGCTGGAGCTGTCTCCTATCATGCCTGACTTCCTCTCCTTCTTCCACGGCGCAAGGTCTCTTCAGAGAACCAGAACCTTCTCTGGCCAAGTGGGGTCCAGGAGCGGGGCTCTTTCTCCCATCTCTGTGCTCTCAAGGCGAGCCTGCACAAGCCCCAGGCCTCAGCTTTCCACTCAGGGAAATAGAAAAGTGAGAAGTAGCTCAGAGGAATCGGAGGAATGCGAGTCACTTTTTTTTTTTTTTTTCCACAACAGACTGGTAATGTGCGCACCCATGTGGTAACAGGGTTAGAAGGAGGCACATCTCAGGCATAGAGCATGAATCCTCACGCTCATGAACCCAAGGATCTTTATCACTCCTGTATGCCAGGCACTGTTTTAACAGTTTACAGATATTAACTCGCGTCGTCCTCACTTGAATAGGTAGCTGACTCTGTTTACAGATGAGAAAACCAAGGCCCAGGAGACTAGGTGCCCTAATCTGCCCGGGGTGGCGCGGGCTGTCTGCCCCTCCGCCCACCTTCCTAGGATGGGCACCGTACCTCAGGTCGTCACCGTGCTCCACACACTCGTACTGCAGCTGGCCGGGCAGGCTGGCCACGAAGGCTCGGAGCTGCACGCTCTCCAGCGCTGCCCAAAGCACATCATCACCGTGCTCGTGCCACAGGTCCAGGTTCATCCGCAGAGAGCCGGGGACCAGGACGGGGTCCTGGGCGGGAAGGGCGGTGATCAGAGCAGGGCCCCCCACCCGGCCACCTCTGCCCAGCCACACTCCGGGCCTCACCTGTGGGATGATGGTGACCCTGGACCGCAGAGTGTGCAGCCCCACCTGGTCGATGGGGACACCGTCGATCCAGATGCCACCCTCCGCAGCCTCCTGCAGCCGCAGCAGGCCTCCTGCCAGGGAGGACTTCCCAGCCCCTGTCCTGCCCACGATGCCAACCTGCCAGGGACAGGAAAGTGTGACCTGTGCTGACTCAAGAGGGCGAGCCACAGCCCAAGCACTCATGGGTACGTCTGGAAGATGTGTCCTTCCACTCAGCACCTCAAAGCACCAGTCTGTCCACCTCTCCTTCCACATGTCTGCCTTCCCACATATCCTCACCCTTCCCTCAGTGCCTCCTTCCATCTCCCATCATCCTGAAATTCTGCCTCGTCCACCATCTATCCCCACCGTCCTCCCGCAGCCCTGTCTGGACTGGCCCCCGCCTCCTGTTCTTCTCCCTGTGTCCCTGTTACCCATGCTATAACCTCCCCTTCCCCCCACCCCTCACCTTTTCCGCCATTCCTCCTCTTTCCTTCTAGCCATCTCTCATCCCTTTTCCACCCCATCCTTCATCCCTTATTTATCTTTACATGTGTCCCCAACCTTCCGCCTATGCATCTGTCCATCCTTTTACCCATCCCCCAGCATGCTCTCTGTTGCTACTCCTGGTCCTCAGAATCAGACACATAATACAAATTCAACACTATTTGTGTAGCACATGACTGGAGTGTGCGAGTCACCCCACTGTGTGACAGGCGTGCTGTTAGCCCTACAGAATACAGAGATGGAGAGTGCTTGCTCCAAAAGCTCACTCTCTGGTCTTCCTAGGGCAACAAAGGAAACACTGGGCTGAACAAGCTCAGGCACTGCAGTGAGAGGATGCTATTCATGCTGCCTGGGATGTGGAGAGGGCTTCATAGATGTGGGGTACACGCGCCTGGACTCTCAAGGGATGGGAGAAGTTCAGCAAGGAGGAAGATTCCACATAAAACACATCAAATCTTTTTTTTAAAAAAATCAGACCACCTGCTCACTAAGCTTACATCACCATGTGTGCACTGGCCCAGAGGAGTCAGCTCCCCAGATGTTGGCTGAACCTTGGCAGAGCAGTGAAGGACAGAGGCAAGGCCCCGAATGCCAAGTTTAGGCAGTTGTACTTTGCGCCAAGAGCACCTAGGAGCTGCTGAAAGGTTTTGAACAAGGGGGAGGATATGCTTAAATACAGATCCTGGGAGACCAAGTTGTGTGGGTGAGATAGGCAGCTGGGGGCTCAGGGAGGAGCGTGGAGTAGGAACTGGAAGGATGACAAAGAGGTGGGAGAGAAGGAGGGATTCCACAAAGAGCCCGCAAGGGGCATCTAATGTAATATTAGAGCTGTGTCCTGCTAGGGTGCTGTGGGATAAACAGCCATGAAGATTAACATCAGCTGAATGTGTCCAGGTGCTTTAAATGTGTTAACTCAAATACCACAGTATCTAGGCACTTAGTATTATTATTCCCATTTTACAGGTGGGCAAGAAGTGACCTGCCCCCTGCCCCCCATGGCTAACACAAGAACCCATGCCACACAACCTGGGTGGTGCAGACAGAATATTTAGCACTGCCCACCTTCTGGGTGTTCAGCTGAGGTTGGAGGAAGGGAAGAGACAGATGTCTCCCCATGTGGGGTCACCATGATGGAACAGGAAGGTTGGAGGGAAGGCACCCTTAGGAGTCTAGTGCGGTGGTCCTGGGTTGGAAAGCTGAGGAGTTTGAGGGCGCTCAAAGGAAGCTGCTGGTGCTCAGGCCTGGTAGCCCCCAGTTGCTGTGGAAGAACTGCTCACCTTCTCTCCTGCATGGACCTGGAAGGACACACCCTGCACAGCCAGGGGGAGCTTGGGCCAGTGTCTCAGCCCAAAGTTCCGGAACTCGATCTGTCCCTCATGAGGCCAGGGGGGCCGGGCTGCACAGGTGGGCAGTGTCCAGGGAGCCTAGAGCAGGAAGGCCCACAGGTCAGAGGGGCCTGCTCCTGGGGCTTCTCATGAGGTGGCCCATCTCCCTGAGCCTCAGTTTCCTCTTCTGCAAAGTGGGTATATTTTCTGATATTTTAGAGAGTTGTTGTATAAATTTAACTACAAAAGCATGGAGTACAGCAATCTCTGGGCTCATAATGAGGATGTAGCTACCTTTCTTCTCTTACTATTGTTAGGCCCAGTTCACTGCCAAAATCTATGCTCATCAACACACGAGAGGATAAAAATGTGCTATTCATACACCATTGAGTACCACTGTGCTGCAAAGCCCAAATGAGCCACCCAATGGGCACCCTTGGGGCCATGATCTCGGTTAAGTGAAACAAACCAGGCACACAAACTTAAGTATCATGTAGTTTCAAAACATAAATAAAAATCAAAATAGGGAGAGAGATCTTTTGCAAACAGGAAGGGGACCAAGCGGTTGGGGAGGGAATAACAAAAGACTTAAGATGCATTATTCACATGCACCAACCTCCCCGAGAGGAAAGTGACTATTATAGACTACACACACATACTAATAAAAAAATAAGAATTAAAAATAAAACAACGGTGTTACTGCTGTGTTTCTTTTGGTGACTGCGCAGTGGCTGATCAAGGAGCTGCCAAGCTGCCCGCTAGGGTTGTGTCCCTGGAAGGCTGCAAGGCTGCCCTTGTTCCTGCAGTGTGTCTGTTCCCACGTGCTGTAATTATGCTGCAGGGAAGGTGCCCCAGTGTTGCATCATGTTGCTGCTGCGTGGCCGGCACATCCCATTTCTCTTATCCACCATCACCCAGACCCGCATGACTTGCTTTGCTCAAGCTAGGAAGCAGGATTTGACGCTGTTAGTCATTGCCGCCAGCCTGGCTAGAAGCAGCTGACGGTGGTGGGCTTAGTGGGACAGAGAAGGGTGCAGATTCCAAAGCCCACCCAGACACAGGCTGGGCTCAGTGTTCTCCCCTGTGAGTCCCACTGGGGCCCTGCCCCTATGCCCCACCCATCACCTCTTTGGGCGTTTGGGCGTAGTCCTGCACCCGCTCCACAGACACCATGCTGTTCTCCAGGTCTGTCCAGCTGCGAACGACCCACTGCAGGGTCTGGGTCACCTGTGCAGCAAGACACCAAGGCTCCACTCACCTTAGCTCCACCAGTCCCCACACCTGGGCAGGGATGGCAGAACCAGACCCCTGAACTCAGCATGGGATGTAGTAATAGGAAGCATGGAGAACTGGGCCCAAAGTGGCCTCAGCCAACAGGACCCTCCCTTCCTTCAGTAGAACCAGTGCAGAGCAGGAAAGAGCTCTCAGACAACAGCTGGTCCAAAGCACTGCCTGCTCAGAGCGGGTGCCTGCCCACCCCTCAAGGATCCTGGCCCAGGAGGTGGAGCCTGCATTGACCCCAAGCTCCTCGATAGGGCTCTGAGCAGTCCAATGGCCCAGCCCTGCCCTCCTCTGCCCAAACTCCCTGAACTCCTACAGGCTCCTCTTCCTCAACCCCACCTTCCCTATGGGGTCCCCTACTGCCTAGAAATGACTTGTCCACACCCCTCAGGGCCTCTCCCTGTGCCTTTACCCAAGCCCCTTGCCTGAGCCCCACCTGTCCCCCTCACATGCCTGCTGCCTGCTCCGGGAAATCCCCTGTGCCCACCCACCTGGCCGCATGCTGCCTTGCCTGGCCTCAACTATGCAAGGACACGGCTGACACAGCCTCACTGAAGGGGCCTGGGTGGATGAAACGCGCTGATATTCACGCAGCTCTGGGAACAGCACATCATTCATAACACATGTCACATGGATGTCATGGTCTGGCCTCACATGGCGTGGTGAACAGTTAGCAGAAGTTAATCACAAAATACTCTTTCTGCTTAGTCTCAACTAAGACAGCATCAGCAGTGACCAGAGCAGTGGCCCAACTTTTCAGACCAACACACTGAGCTCTCTAAGCAAAGGGAGACTCCCATACAAGGTTACCAAAGCCCAGGCCATTTCCTGTGGGGCAGGATTTCCCTGGCAGTGGTCATGTGGATTTGGGGCTCTATGAAGGTCCTGGGGCAGGGTGTCTGTCCGGCTCTGGATCTGCCCATGGCTTGGAGTCCAAGCCTGGCATGCTGTGTACCTGGAGGGCAGCCGAGACGGAGAAGCCCACGAGGCCAGCGCGGAGGTGGGCCTTGCTCAGCACGGCACACATGGCAGCCACGAACACCAAGCCATTTCCCAGGAGCTCCAGGTTGGTCGCAAGCCACCTGCAGAGAGAAGCAGGCAATGGGTCTGCAATTCCTGCATCTGCCAAGGCCCACTGCTCTGCCATCAGGGTGGCTCTGTCCCCATGGGTGACCCAGCAAGCATGTCCTCCTCCCCCAGCTCAGGGAGTTGGGGCAAGTGATACTGCCCTGCTGGCTCTGCACAGAGCTCAGCAGAACTGTTGTGTCCCTGGGATGTGCCGAGGCAGGTGTCCTTGCTGTCCACTGGCCTGAACATGCCCTCCTCCTTCATGGAGCCAACACCACCTTCATGTACAGATCTCCTGCAATGTCACCTCCATTCTTAACATCGCTGATGACATCCTCTGTGGCAGCCATCTCCCCATACCTAAGCTATCTATAATTGGTCATGGCCTAGCAAAGCTCCAGCAGGAGATCAGGCCTCCACAGATCTTGCCTGGCTCATTCCTGGCTTGGTCTCTAGTGCCTATGTGGGCCCCAACAGGTTGCAGGTGCTCAGCAGATATGCTGTGAATGGATGAATGAATACGCAGCCCCCTGCCATTTGCTCATTCATCCATTCATTTAGCAGATACATGCTGCACTGAGTGCACATTATGTGCCAGGCATGGTGGGGGTGCTTGGGATGAGACTAAATAAAACAGTCCAAAATAACTATCTTCTGGCCATGGTGGTACATACTATAATCCCAGCTATTCAAGAGGCTGAGGCAAGAGATGTGCCAAGTAGGAGGCCAGCCTGGGCCACTTAGGAAGACCCTATTTAAAAACAAAAATTACAAAGGGTTCAGGGATGTAGATCAATGTTCCTCGTGTTCAATCTCCCACCAAAAATCACTGTCCTCAGGGAGCCCTGAACTTTACCAAATATGACATCAAGGCCTCCTTCCCATTTGACAGATGAAAAAACTGAGGATCAGGTAGGATTAGATATTTACTTAAATCCATACACATCACAGATACTAGGATTTGTGGCCATGTCTCCCTCACTGACACTAGAGAACACATACACCCTGTCTAAAGGTCATGCTTCTTACTGAAGCAACTACCAGAAGGATAAATGAAGCAAGCACCACCTGCAGCTGCCATGCCCAGCATCAGCTCTGAACCTGTTTTCCATCTGTACAAGGTCATGTCTATCTATTTAATGAAGTCCTGTCTGTGTACTAACAGGACATCTGGCCAAGTACAGTTGGGAGAATTAAATGAGATATGCCACGAAGCATCACGCATTTCTAAATGTCCTAAGTTTCCAGGAAGGGGCAGGGTAAGTCTTCCAAAAGACATGGAATTGACACATTGCCCACATGTATAGACCTTCGGAACCTGGGTAGAAAGGAGAAAGGAATTCACACTTATTGAGAGCCAACTGTGTACCTGACTCCGGCCACACTCCAGTGCCAGGCCGCCTGGTCTCAAGCCCTGGCTCCACTATGTGCCAACTGTGTGCCCCTGGGTGAGCCTCCTACTTCTTGGTGCCTCGAACTCATCATCTATAACACTGTATTTAAGCCATCAGTTAACTGGCTTAAATACAGATGGCCTAGAGCCAACACTGCACACCTGTAATTCCAGTACTCTAAGAGGCTGAGGCAGGAAGATTGCAAGTTCAAGCCCAGTCTGGGCGACTTAGTGAGACCCGGTCTCAAAACCAAGAGAGCTAGAAATGTAGCTCAGTGCAAAGACCCTGGCTTCAATCTCCAGAACTGAGGGGCCACAGAGATAGCTCAGTAGAATAAGCAGATCCTGAGTTCAATCCCCAGTACTGCACAAATAAACAAACAAACAAGAGTCATAGGGAGCCTGTGGGTTAGCTCAGTTGTTTAAGTGACTGGGCAAATGCAGTCAGGTTCAGGGGACTGAGGTTCGATCGCCAGCTCCACATGCCTTACCAGACCCACCTTAAGGCAGCCTGAGCAAGACCCCCCCCAAAAATCTTTCTCAATCTCCAGAACTGTAAAAAAAGAAAACAAAGGAAAAAAAAATACAAAACCAAAACTTTTATTTACGCACATATATGTCAGAACAATGTCAGGAATATAGTAGCCATGTTACAAATATTATCTATGAAAATGTGTAGTCCTCAGAGCCATTCTGAGCACAGCTTCCATTTAATCAATGACACTCAGGCACTGAGAGGTTATATAACTCACGAGGATCAGCCAGCAACTAGGCGGCAGAGTTGGGATTGGAACCTGCATCTGTCAGCACTCAGAGCCTAAAGGAGACTCAGGAAACTTATGCAGCTACTCTGTCACCATGGCATGGCCCACTTGACAGGTAACAGAGTCTCCTTCCTGTGTCTCCGAGGGTCACTGCTGTCGGAGACCCCTCTGGCTGGGGTCCATGTGCTCACAGCGTGATCCTGGAGGCTGCCCATGGGATCTAGTATCCTATTTGTTCCCCAATGTGCTTTTACCTTGGGCATGCCACCCCACACAGTATGATTTCAGGGTCACTCTTTAAGGGTACAGATCAATTACAAGGACTTCTCTGCTTACCTGTCAGCCACCAGTCGTGGGAAACTGACCCTCTGGTTCGCATCCATGAGAGCGTCGCTCTGGGCCACAAAGTGGCGCTGGGCCTGGAATGCCCTGACCACGGCACTGCCCTGGAATGTCTCGGCCACGTGGGAGCACACAGATGAGTAGCTGGCTGACTCCATGCGTCTCAGCTGGCACGAGGTGGCCACATACAGGCTCTGAGGCAGGGTGGAAGGAGGAAGGGGAGAAGGCAGAAGTAGAGAGGTGACTTCCAGAAGCTCAGGGAACCCCAATTCCAGGGGTTCAGAGTCAGTTCCCAGCTTGCTGCGACCTGGAGCCAATTGCTTAATCTTCTTTGGGTCCAGTTTCCTCACAGAATCAGAGTTCCGTGATTCTTTCAAAAACCCATCCAGGGAGCTCTGAAAACCTCCAATACCCCACACTCCAAAAGCACTGACTCAGGACCCCTGTAGAAATTGTCCTAATTTGGTATTTATGTAAAATCTGGAGTCAAGGAACTAACAGCCAAGGTGAAACATCTCACTGGCAAATGCTGAGACCAATGACTTCACTCTGATAGGAGCTGGTGGGATCAGTCCCGTAACAGGCCGTGGAAATGGCTGCCCACGTCAACCCACTCATTTCACTCAATGGTTATGCGCTCTGCAGATGCATAGTGTGTGTTACTACACAGCTGCTTGCAGGACAGCTCCAGTGCCAGGATCTTTACACACAGTGCCTCATTCACACTGGGCAGGCCTTAGGGTTATTCACAGCCCACAGGTGAGAGCAGACCAAGGCCTGAGGGATGAAGTAGCTCCTCTGAGTGGCAGAGAGACTGCCCTACTCCAGTCCAAGAGGACCTAGAGAAGACCTGGGGTCATTGTGGAGGACAGTGGTGGCCAGGGCTTTTGTTTGATGACAGGGTTTTCTTTTGCCTGATCTCCTATAGGTGAGACAGGTCTCACTAAGTCACTAAGTTGCCCAGGCTGGACTCATAGTTGAGACTGCCCTGCTTCAATGTGCCAGAGTGCTGGGGTTACAAGCAGGCACCACCGCACTTGGCTTGGAGAAGTGTTCTTTTTCTTGGGTTGCTGATGAAGAATGATGTGAGCCCTGGGCTGAGAAGGATCATCAGACCCACCCCTGGAAAGACTGTGTGCAAAATCAAGAAGCCCTAAGGCACTGACTTGACTGTCAAACAATAGCACACAGCAGAATTACTGAGAGTAGTTGTTAGCAGCCAGGTGGTTGGACCCACTCTGCTAGCATCTCAGTCTAGGAGGGACCTAAGAATCCATGTCTCTCCCTAGTCCCAAGTGAGACCAATGCTGCTGGAACTGGAGCCACACACAGAGAACCGCTGAGTGCAGCAGGGAGACAGTAAGTGTCCTGGTGACAGCTGGGCCTGCCCCACCCTAGGATGCAAACATTAAATTCTGTTCTTTTGAAGTTGGTCTCTGGCCCTGGCAATGGAAAGACTCTGAGCTTAGCAGAATAACCATTAAGACCCTGCAATGCCTTCCTAGTATCTATTCTGGAAGCTGATGCAGCAGAAACAAGCCCAGACAATACAAAGAATTCTTATATGGGAGACAGAGACTACTGTGGATGCTACCCCTGCTGGGCAGCCCCTCTTACACGGAGTCCTGACCCCAGAGATAAGACCAGCACAGGGCTGACCAGATAGTCCAGCAGACTAAAGTGCTTGCTTAGGCAGAGCACAAAGGGGTTCGATCCCTGGAGTGCTGTGCCAGCCCCACCCCTGGGGCGCGCTAAGACGCGTTTGAGACTTGGGTGTGGTGCCTCGTGCCTGTAATCCCAGCATTTGGGAGACTGAAAACAGGAGAATCACTACAAATCCAATCTATGTAATGAAACTCTGTAGACCCTGTACTAAATACATTTAAAACCAAAAACAAAAAACAAAAAACTGGTGTACGTGGCCATTGCTGGCCCAGGAACCCAACACCTCCATACCTGAAACCCAGCGTAAAGGAGCATCAGCGGCAGGATGGCCACAATGGCCAGAGGGGTGACCGTCGTCACTGCCAGGCAGACCTCCAGGAGCCCGAAAGTGTAAGTCAGCAGGGCCTGGAGCTTCTCTGGGATTTCCACATCCACCGTGTCCATTTCCTTGGAGAAGTAGTTTAGCAACTTCCCAACAGGTGTTCGCTCAAAGAAGCCAATGGGAGACCGAGCCACATCCCACAGCAGCCTCCGGAAGAGCAGGCTGGATGCCTGGATCCCGCCCACGAACACTGCGGCCATGGAGGCAAAGAGCCCGATGGCTGGGGTGGAGGAAGGCGAGAGAGTCAAATTATGGACCCAGAGGCCCCAGGACTCTCCTTGCAGGACTCAGGTATGCTTCCCATCAGCATCTTATGATCTGGCCACGTTGATGGCTTCACCCTCCAGGAGATTAAATACTGTCCCCCAAATTCATGTCCATCCAGAGTCTCACAATATGACCTTATTTTAAAGAGTTTTTGCAGATGTAACTAAAAATCCCGGGGAGGTAGGGGATAGCTCAGTGGTCTAAGTGCCTGCCTGGCAAGCCTAAGGACCCAAGTGCTATCCCTGCTACTGCATGCCAGGCTGGCCACGGACACTGGGCACGGTGGGGCATGTCTATAATCCCAACACTAGGGAAGCTGATACAGGAGAATCACTATGAGGCCAAGCTGCGTGTGTAACAAGACCATGTACCAAATAAACAAATAAAAAGATTTTAAATTAAAAAAAAAAATCTTAAACTTTGAGTGCATTTGAAATCCAATTTTTGGTGTCTTTATAAGTACAGGTGAGGGCTGGAGTGATAGCTCAGTGGACTAAGCGCCTGCTTAGGCAAGCTCAGGGATTGAAGTTCGATCCCCAGCAACATGCCACACCGGCCCTGCCCCTGGAGGTGCTGAGCTGGCCACTGAGACCGGGCATAGTAGTGCATGCCTGGAATCCCAGTGCTGGGGAGGCTGAAAACAGGAGGATCACTCTGAGTTGCATAGTGAGACCCTGTACCAAATATGAAGTACAGGTGAGACAGAGAGACTCAGAAGATGACATGATGGCAGAGGCAGAGACAAGAGGGATACATGTACCACTCAAGGGTGTGGTGGCCCCCAGAAGCTGAAAGAATGCAGTTGAAGCTTTTCTCCCGCAGCCTCCCAGGCAACTAATCCCACTCACATCTTGCCTTAGACTCCCAGCTTCCCTAGTGCGAGGGTGTGTTTCTGATGTTCTAGGCTATCACCCTAATGACGGTTTGTTTTACAGCAGCCCTGCGGCACTGACACTCTGTCAGGTGCCACGTAACGAGAGGGGACTGTGCCACACAAATGAGAACCTGAGTTATCCCAGGGCTGGGCTGCTGTGGACAGTTTCCTGGTCTAATCCCTCTGGACTATGTACACACTGGCCCAAGGGCGTCACCGTGCAACCATCCCTGGGGAGGTTTCTCAGTGGTTGTAACTAGGAGGGTCCTTGTGTTCAGGCCTCACGCTCCCATCTCCAGGGGTAGAGGGAATGGGCTCACAGCAGTTCCATGGTGTCACCCAGCGAGCAGGCTAAAATCAGCTTTTAAAGATGAGGCTAAGGCTAGCAGGCCACCCCACCCTGTGAGCAAAGCAACTATCCGCCAGCTCCAAGCGGAGCAGCCAGGGCATGACCTAACTGACAGGCTTGATGCTAGATGAGGATTATGTCTGGGGAGGGAAGGGAGACCTGGAAGACTGGGGGCGTCAGGACCCCGGTGCTACCCTCCCAAAGGGACTGCATGAAGGACCACCACAGGGGACCACATGAGAGGCAGCGGGCCGGACAAGGCCTCCTTGAGAAGTACAAGGCCTCGCCCTCTTTAGGGGCTGATCCTTTCCCCTCTGCCAGCGTGGGCAAGGACACAAATAGGCTAGATGTGGCACGGCTCACGGTGACGGACAAAGGGGTCTCCAGTGTGGGAAGGGCCTCTCAGAAAGCCACAGGCCCTACAGCCAGGCGGAGAAAATCGTGATTGGCCAGATTCCAACTGCAGAACCTGGAAAGAAGTCACTCGTTCAGGAGGACAGAGGAATTGTTTTCTTTGACTCAATTAGTAACTTTTTCTTTTATTCTCTTCATTAGTTTATTGGGGGGGGGCTGAACTTTTTAAAATAACTTTTTTACTTCTTTTTCCCTCTTTAGATTCTTTTCCCCCTTCAGTTGTCTTTCTCTGTGTTATCTTTCATTTTATGTATTTTGTCCTGTTTTTCTTCTTTTTGTGTTCATTTTTTCTGTGACTGCTTTTTTTTGAGGGGGAGGGCTGGCTCAGGATGCCTTAAGGGCAGGTCTGGTAAGGCATGAGGGTCTGGGGGTCGGACCACAATATCCTGAGCCTGACTGCCTTTTTTGGGACTGCCTTTTAATGCTGTTAATTTCCATGTATTCTCCAGTAGAACCCTCCTTTCATTCTCTCCTCCTCCATCTCATATCCACTGATTAATTTGCCACACTTTACTCTTTTCACCCCTATTTTTACTTTTTGAATCTCTAGTTAGATAGTTAATGCTGTTTAACACTTTTATTGTTACTGGGAGTACAGTTTAGTACTCTTACTTTTTACTGCAGGTTACTATCTGATTTATCTTAGTGTTCATACTATGATTATAGTCCTTTTTTCTCCAATTGAGGGTAGTATGTTATTGGCTCTCAGGGTTATTAATATCTAGTTTGTCTCCAACATTATTACTGTTGCTGATTTTATCACTACAGTCAAGGGACATAGCTGTTTCTATGAATTGGCTTTCCCTGTATGCCAGTGTCTGCATTTCCTCAGGATCACTAACAATACTTTAGCCCACACTTGGACAACAGGGAACTGGGACAAGTACACTAAAATCTTTATTTCCAAGTCAATGGAGGTGACTGGATCCTGGCACAATGGCAGAGAACAATGGCCACACCCAGAGAGCACTGCTGAAACTGGACATCAACTAAAGAGGCTTCCATGCTAACAACAAAGGTGGCCACTATAATCAACCCACATGCTTGAACACACACACACATAAATAAATAAATAAATAAATAAAAATATGAGAAGACAAGGTCACAAAATGGCTACAAAACCTCCCAACTCCCCCACAGCTGATCCATGGGGCATCAAAGGGAAGAAAACCAAAAGTCACACAGCCGAAGTATTTGAAATGATAACAGAGGAGATAATCAGACAGGTCAGTGAGGCACCTAGCCTCACAGAAGATCACAGAGGATATAGGCAGACAGATAAAGGGCCAAAAATGAAATAAATAGGACTGCCAGGGAGATAGCTCAGCAGCATAAGCGCCGGTCTCAAAAGCGCAAGGTCTGGAATTTGATCCACCATAACGAAAAAAAAAAAAAAAAAAAGAAAGAAAGAAAGAAAGAAAGAAAGAAAGAAAGAAAACAATCAAAAAGTCTACAGAAGACATGAATAACAAAGCTAGTGGTGCTAAATAAGATGACACAAAACACAAATGGCAACTTAGAGAAGAATTAGAATCCATAAAAAGATTCTAAATAGAAATGCAGGAGATTGGGCTGGAGAGATAGCTCCATGGTCTAAGCACCTGCCTGGCAAGTGCAAGGACTGAGCACAATCCCTGGTACTGCATGCTGTGCCAGCCCAGAGCCCTGGGCATACTGTGCTGGCCACCGAAAGTGGGCATGGTGCCATATGCCTGTAATCCCAGCAATGGGGAGGCTGAAACAGGAGGATCACTATGAGTCTGAACTGTGTAGCAAGACCCTGTCTCAAAAGAATGAAGAAGATAAAAATTAAAAAATGAAATGCAGGAGATTACAAATTCCACTGAAAGCACAGGACCAGAAATTTCTATGAGGAGGAGTGTGTGGAGAGCTTCCTGCTACCCTGTGCCGGAGGGACCAGTCCCAGCCCAGGCGCAGCATGGGCCGGACCCTCTCCC